ACCATTTGTATTCTAGAGGACAGGGCCACTACTAGTAAATTCTTCATTCCCTAGTCATTTGTTTGATGAGTATTTTTATGATCCTACCATGTGGCAGACACTGTGACAGGCACCAGAATTATAAGAATAAGTCGATTTAGCCCTTCACAAATCCAGAGAAACCTAGACATATAAAATAATAATAATGTCACAAGGCAGTAAGTGCTCTAGCAGAGGTGTGTGAAAAGTTCCATGAGAACACAAGAAACAGATACTAACCTCCATTCAGACATTGTTTTTCATACTTTTTATTTGCAACATTAACTGATTCTCAGAATAATTCAGAGGTGGGTGTGATTATCATTATTTTGAAAGTGGAAACCTTGAGGGGTCAAGTAGCTTCCCAAAGTTGAGAAGCCGATTGAACATAGATGTTCTGACTTCAAAGCTTAGACTGTCTCCAATTCAATATATTTATTCCTGTAATAAAATATTCAGTACCCTGCCAATGCCACTTAGTTGCATATTTTAATTCATTTCATCATTTTCTGATTTTGGTTGAGAAATGGCTAAAGAAATATTTCTGAATTTGGCAAGAATGATCTTTTATCTTTGGCCAATGCTTGGCTCAGTAGAAGCTGTGTATACATTTGAAGTCTTCAGTGGAAGTCTATGTGTTTCTATGCTCTATTTTTTAGGAACAAATGTTCAATATAATTGCCTAATTATTAGGGAAATGTATTAGGATCATACACACTGTAGGTGTATATTTAATGATATATGGTAATGTTGTTTGTGCCTGAATGATTGAGTTATATTTCCAAATATTCTATTTTTTTGTACTTAAGCTATTTTTTTTCTTTTTGTTTAGCTTATGTTGTTCAGTCTTTGGTGCAATCATCCTTTCTCCAGTGTACCTGAGACAATGTTGGTTAGAGTTGCCAAGAGTAGCAAATAAAAATAGAGTTAAACTTTAATTTCAGATAAACAATAAATGCTTTTTAGTATAAGTATGTTGAGAATATTGAATGGAGTATATTTTCAGGAAGATGTGAAATTAAAATTTAGCTGGGCATTCTGTATTTTATCTGGCAAACCTAACATAGATGTAATTTGGTGTGTTCTCAACTCACCTCTTATTTTATTTTAACCTCTTTCTCCCTAACAGTATTGTCAGGTAGAAATGATGCCAGCAAAACTTAGACTTACCTCATCATTGATTTTTTGTTTCAGGTCAGTCCTAATTTTTGAGTGCTCTACTGAAAAATCCGGATTATATTCAATACTGGGGATCTGGAAGGAAGTTTGGAAATAGTGCACCTTTTTCTGATCTGGAAGGGAGAACAAATATGCATGATTTCTCTTTAGTTCATATGAGCTACATAAATAATGGAAATAGAGGGAATGGCATGCAAAAACATCCCATAATTGATGAACTCCTAAGAATTAATTCAGTAGCTGTGGCCAACACTTCTCTCTTCCTTTTTGAAGATTGCACAATCTCTTAGTCATGTAATTTTCAGTTGTGTCCTGACACAAGTTGACCTTGAATTTAGAATTGCTACTAAAATAATTTTTTATTCTCAATAAGTCATATTGAGAATATAAAATCATACAATAACATAGGATATAAATCTATGGCATTGGTCAAGAAAAAGTATTATGTGAACCAAGTCAAATTTTAATGCTAGAAGCATTTTTACACATAAAAGATTATAATTTCCAAAATGTAGATAAATTTATGCAAATCAACATTACATTATGCAAAGTATGTACACATTTAAGCAAATCATTGTTGCACTGAAAATTGTATTCTAAAATATTAAAAATTATTAAAGTTTTGAAATAAGTGAGTGGATATTTAAAATTTAAAAAAAATGCAATGAGATAGGTTCTTACCAAATGCCAAAAAATAAACAAGGAGACCGATGATTATTGCTAGAACCAACACAACAGCTGCAACAAGAAGGGCAATCATCCATGGTTTCACGAAATTTGTTCTTCTGCCTCGTATTGGTGGCCTTTTGAGAGAGAGAGTTGTATATTAAAAACAAACAGAACTTAAAGACTGGAATCTCAATTTCACATAGTTTTGGCATAGAATGTGTTTTTTTTTGTTTTTACTTTTTAAAAAAAATTTTGTTGAGTAATTACTTTATTTTTTTTAATTGTTTAAAGTATTACATGTCTCCCTTTTACCCAATTAACCCCCTTCCCCGAGGGCAAGCCCCCACCACCTCAGTGCCTGTGTCCATTGGTCATGCTAATATGCATGCATACAAGTCCTTTGGTTGATCTCTAACCCCTTCCTCCCCTGCCTTCTCCCCAAGGTTGGACAGTCTGCTCCGTGCCACCTTGTCTCTGGATCCATTATGGTTCATCAGTTTATGTCGATCATTATATACCACATATGAGTGAGATCATGTGATACTTATCTTTCTCCAACTGGCTTATTTCACTTAGCATAATGCTCTCCAGTTCCATCCATACTGTTGCAAATGGTAAAAGTTCCTTCCTTTTCATTGCAGTGCATTATTCCACAGTGTAGATGTACCACAGTCTTTTAATCCACTCCTGTGCTGATGGGCACTTAGGCTGTTTCCAAAT